GTTACGGCTCGTTGAGGATCTCTTGGGCCGTCGCGGGGGCCCAACGGCTGTTTTGATGATCTCAAGGCCCCCATCCAGAGTCAATTTCATGCAGATCTCTCGTGCGAAACCCCACTCCTCATACTTCGGTGAATATTTCGCGAGATCTCAGCCTCTCGCGTTGTTCGAGGAGGTCCCGAGCGAGAACTCTATCTCCAACGTGCAGCGTCTTAAGCACCGCTCTTTCAACACCTCATAGCTGAGAGAATTTTTTTAGCCGAACGGCCGCGCCCCAATGTTCGAGCGATTTCGAGAGTGAGCTCAGCATATCAACGTTTCGAATATGCCTCGACCAAGAGCCTCGTCCTTTCACGCGCAGCGTCTCACACCATGCTCCCTCAACATCTGATTTGTCCGAGGATGTCTCGAGCAAGACGCGCATTTTGGTAGGGGCCCGCCGAGCAGTCGATGCCTCTCGCGCCTCAGCTCTTCATGTATTCGTGACTCTAGTTCCTCTAAAAAATTCCGTCACCTTCTCGTTCCGAGTAGGCGCTGCCCGTGATCAGCTCGTTCACCATTCAATGTGTCCGAAGGGGGTGTCTCGCCTGATGGCCTCCTTTTCAACGTGCAGTGGTTTAACGCAACTCCTCCGGCATCTTAATGCTCCGAGGATGTCTCGAGCGGAGCGGCCGTTCTCAGGGCGCTCCGCCAACCGAACCCTCGTTATTTGCGACGGCGAGCCCGTGGCCCCCCGCGTCGTAGTTCTTCGTCGCGCTGAAGAAGCATCATCTCAAAAACGCCCTGCACCTACTCGTTCCGAGAAGGCGCTTCCCGTCGCCCGCCGAGCGAACGACTTTTTGCGGCAGCGAGCCCATGGCCCCTTGCATCTTATTTCTTTACTTCTTGTTGTACAAATGCCTCTGGCAAACTCCCAGCGCCTTCTCGTTCCGAGAGGGCGCTTCCCGTGATCCGCCGAGCGAGCGGCTTTTTCCAGCGGCGAGCCCGTGGTCTCTCTCGCCTTGATTCTTAATTCATTACTTGAAGGCTTCCACTATCGAACTCAAACCGCCTTCTCGTTCCGAGAGGGTTCCGAGAGGGCTCCTTTATAAAAAATGCAACCCCGCTCTAAGAGGTCTCGCGAGCTCCCGCGTAGGCAGCCGCAGGACCGATTCGCGCGCGCGCGTCCGCAGACGCCACGTGCGAGGCCACCGCCCACTGGTGGAAAGCCCGCGCGAAAGAACGCGGCCCCATGGCCGAGCGCTGGTGGCGGGCCGTGGATTGAAAACGGCGCAACGCGCAGCGCGCAGGATAAACATAGCGTAGCGCCGCAGTGACCGCCCTCACCAACATATGCAAAGTCGGCAGCGGTCGGCGCGGGATACGGAGAGGCGGCAGACAATCAGGTCGACCACCTGCCCGCAGCTGCAGGCCGAGCCAAACTCAGAGTCACCAAGCAGCGGGCCTAGGAATGGAGGCAGAGAAGACAAGCGCAGGCGTTGGGGAAAAAACACAAAAATGAACAAAATGATGGTCGGTGTATCATTTGGCACGGCTGGGGCGCGGGGGTGATGCGGGTCGCCGTGGCCCGCGCAGTCAACTGTTCGCTCGCGCGCACCCTGGGATCACTGGACTGTGACCCGTAGTCCGCCGCAAACCAGCGCAGGTTGACCGAATTGAAGCCGCGCCGCCGAGACGAGTGAGCGTACCATATCTGCCACCTTGTGAACGCGATGCGTGCCTTCCGATACAGTATAGACTTCGCTGCGACTTCGCTCGTGAAATAGTCTGGAGATCCACGTCGTCGGGGAAGCACTTAGTGCACGCCGACAAGCGCCGTTTAGCATGTGCAATCACAGCTGGAACAATCGTAGAAGCCATCTGCAAATGCCTCGAGCCAAACGTCCGCACTGCGGCACCACCGCGGTGAGTGCACTGTACCACGTGGCAATAAACATTAGACACCGGCCCGTGCGCCAAAGCCCATCCGTTCGTTTGTGTCACACCGTAAGATGGATCCACTGAGCTTATCTTTGCCTCAGCGTCCTGGTCTTCCGAAAGAAAGGCCATGACCCATGGCCACCCCCTGGCGGCCAGGGGCCGGCTGGCTCGGAGATAGCTCCTCATGCTGTGCACAGGCTCGCTCCCGTCATGAGTGACATCCGACGAAGCGGAGCTCCGCGGTGGTCGTGCCGCCACCGAACGCTCGGCCCTCCAGCGTTGGGAACTTCGGCTAGCGATGGCGATCATATGAGAAGCGAAACGCAACATGTCCCGCCATCGACCGAGAATCATGGTGCGCAGGGGCTTGCGACCCCGCTGACACGAGAAAACAAACGCCACAATCGCTCGTACCATGGCCTTGAGAAGGCGCTTCCCGTCATCCGCCGAGCGAACAGTTTCTTGCGGCGGCGAGCTGGTGGTCCCAGGCGTCTAAACGCTTTATCAGATCCCAACTCAAGATGGTCTTACAAACTCCCATGACTTTCTTGTTCCGACAAGGCGCGTCTCGTCATCGCCAACGAAATTCGGAATGCGACCCGCGCCCCCTCGTTAGAACAGATATATAACATGTTGTCAGAGAACAAAACGGTCCGCGTTAAAGGCGCTTCCCGTCAAACACACACGTGTGCACTTTGTGACATCCCGTCAAAGCAAAAATGCCTCACACCGCTGCCCGCCTCGAATGCTTCCAACTTGAAGCTGTATACAAAAACAAACCCCCGCCGCAACTTCGACAGCCGTCATTGCATTGCATTCCTCCGACGACTCGACATTTGTCGATGCCCCCTGTAACTCGACCTCTCCTCCCGGGCAATTTTTTCGACGGGCTACGACGCCGGGGATGTGGGGCGTAGGCCCATGATGAGCAGAGTTCCGGTCGCACACATCGTGCGAACGCGACGCCTGCCAGAAGCCAACCTACAATCGGGTCTGACTGCAGATGACACTTGACACGAGACGCGATAATGGTACCCTTGGTTCTTTAAGGCCGACTGTTGCAAGGACCCGATCGTGAACTCTGGCAAATCTGCCACCGTGCCTTGCGCACGTTTGGGCGTGGAGGAATGCCAAAGGCTGTCTGGTATGGTTTCTGTGTTCTAGTCAGTGAAGCCCCCCACCCGGGACGTGTCTCATTGCATGCGCCGCCACCCCTCACGAGGCTACGATCCTTTGTAGAAAAAACGGAGCCACACCCCCGAGGCCACGATCCCTTGTAAAAAAGATGGGTCCGCGTCTTGAGCTTCCAAGACAGCTCAGGCAGGCAACCAATGAAACCAAAATTGCCCAAGATGTATCGAAGACGGCCCACGATGGCCCCAAGGCGGCCGAATATGGCTTCAAGGGGGCCCAAGATGCCTCCATGGGGACCCCAAAAAGCCACAAGAGATCTTCAACATGGTCCGACGAGGCTCATCTCATTGATTTCCATTGAGTTTGGGAATGGTTTCTCGTATTTTCGGGCGTCCGTAGGCTCAGGACAGCCCAAGAAGCCTCCAAGGTGGCCCCAAGACAGCCCACGAGGCCCCCAAGAGAGTCCCCAAGACGGCCCCAAAGCGGCCCAAGCGGTGGGACCCAAGACGGTCTTAACAAGCTCTTCGACCATACAGGCGGCGCCACGACGGCCCCCAGACACCCACCATACGGCAAAGAGGGCCCCAAGGCGCCCCAAGAGTGCCCCAAGATGGCCCAATAGGACCCCAAGGGACCCCCAAGGCTGCCTCACAGGAGGCCAAGCCAGCCCAAAGACGACCCGATTGAGTTCCATGAGAGCTCCTCGAACAGTGAAGACAAAAGGTGACACATGTGACGGCCTTCCTCTTGCTCCTCCTCCTCCTCCTTCTCCTCCTCCTCCTCCTCCTCCTCCTCCTCATTCTCCTCCTCCTCCTGCAACTCCTCCTCCTTCTCCTCCTCCTCCTCCTCCTCGTCGTAGTCGTCGTCATCATCACTATCATCATCATCATCATCATCATCATCATCATCATCATCATCATCATCATCATCATCATCATCATCATCATGATCATCATCATCATCATCAGCAGCAGCAGCATCAGCATCAGCATCATCATCATCCTCCTCCTCCTCATCATCATCATCATCAGCAGCATTATAATCATCATCGTCACCGCCACCACCATCACCACCACCACCACCATCATCATCATCATCATCATCATCAGCAGCAGCAGCAGCATCCACATCATCATCATCATCATCATCATCATCATCATCATCATCATCATCATCATCATTAGCATCATCATCATCATCATCATCATCATCATCATCATCATCATCATCATCATCATCATCAACAACAAACACTATTCCAATAATGCCCATCATCTTCAGGACGGCTTTCCCAAACCTGGAAACACGAGATGGCACACACGATAGCATCCCAAGCCCCCTCGAACAATCGCCGCCGGAAATGTTCGGCTGGCACGGTGGCGGGACTTGCCGCAGGTAGCTGGATAGCCAGACCGGACCCGATTGTGAACTGTGGCAGTGGCACCCTTGACAGCCAGGCCCGACTGTGAACTGTGGCGAGATTGCGCACATGTCCCGTCGCGCCCGCTCGCTCCCGCTCGCCCGTCACCTCCGTCTCTGTACACTCGCCCTCTCCATCGCTCCTCCTCCGCCTTCTCCATCTGCACTTCCTCCTCCCGCCCGTCCCCTCCCCCCTTCACAAGTTTTTCCTCCCTCCCTCCTCTTCACCCTCCACCTCGTCTCCCTCCTCCTCCACCTGGTCCCACCCCCCCTCCCTCTCCCTGCTTCCCCCCTCCTCCTCCGCCGCCTCCTTCTCCTTCTGTTAAGCATGTTCCTCTTCACCGCTTGTCCTTCCTCCTTTCCTCCTCCTCCTTCTCCTCCTCCTTCCTCCTCCTTCTCCTCCTCCTCCTCCGCCCTCCTCCGCCTCCTCCGCCTGCTCCTCCCTTCCTCTCCGTTTTATCCTCCTCCCCCCCCCTCCTCCTCCTCCTTCTCCTCCTCCCCCTCCTCCTCCTCCTCCCATGCCCCGTCGCCTGCCGACTCCTGCAAAGCCGCGCCGATGCTTATCTCCGCGGTGTGGTCAAACGCCTCCGTCGGTGCACGGGGGCGTCGCTCAGCAATCGGCCGGACTGCGCCAGCGGCCGGCAAGAGAATGTCGGATCACGGGTCGGGTGCGCAACGAAAGACGCGCACGGCGCAGGCTTTCACGACGGACAAGTTTTGGTCATATTCGGCCTCCGGGGGCCCTCACCAGGCCCCAGAACAATAGAAAAAGGACTCGGGATGAACAAGCGGCCCCAGGGAAAGGGGTCCAAATCTCTGGGGGTCCCAAGCGTGAACAAAACACTATGATGGAATTCTGGGAACCCCTTCGGCTACCGAGTACCCGAGCCAGTGCCCTGCCTGGTCTGCGTTCGGCGTTCGCAGACCCCAGAATGAAAAACTGAAGGGGGGATGCGCCAACAAAGTGTGGTCCCTCTTCACCCCACTGGCAACAACGTCGCCTTCAACACCATCGTCGACAACATCATGACCAACATCGCCGTCAGACGGCGAACTATGTGAAGCTGGCCAGGTGGGGAATCCTCGCCAATTGGGGACCCACAGCTGTTAATCCCCTAATTCGTGATAGTCGAAGACTTGCTGGAAAGACAGGTCCTAGTGAAACATCGCGCCGCGGATGAAGCCTCTCCAGCAGGCGGCCCAATCGATCGCGAGGGTGGCAGGTGGAGAGGAATCGGGAGAGAACGGGAAGGCGGAGGCGACGGGCGCGCGGCACGAGACATCGACCCCGCGGCTAGGCGCTCGCGCGCTCTGCGGAACAGTTGCTTGACCACGGACGCCTTTTTCTATTCTGCCCCTAGGGTCCCACATTGCGCCACAGACAACGAGAGTTGGGACGAGAGCCCTACACACAAATTAAAGTAGTGGGGGGGGGGCGCATCGTCAATTCCAGCAGCCGCCCGCCCAGATGAGGGGCACCATGACATGTGACCAACGATGTTTTCGCATTCGGGCACGCACGTCTTCTGGTGCCGCTCCCAAGGGAATAGTGCCCACGAATTCCAGCATGTCGTGTGTCGTTCTGCGTGCCGAAGGTGTCGGCGGAAGGTGTGCGAACTCGCTGGGGGACGTTGGCGGAGCCAGACTTTGCTGGCTATTGAGCTGAGGCGAACCTGGCGGAAATGATCCAAGACTCGAATTTCCCCAGAAGAGGAGCCCCCACCAACTGTGCCTGTGGATCGCAGTCTCGCCACGACGTCGGAGGCCTGAGTCTCGCCCCTGGAGGTCCCCAGAAGCCTCCGGAAGCCTGCCGAGGGCAAAGAAAACAAACAAATCCCCAAGCCCTCGATGTGCCTACTCGATCATCCCTCCTCCCCCATCCTCCGGAGCACGTTGCATCGCAAAGCCCCGCGTCACATCCACCTCCCCGTCTCCCTCCCTCCTCCCCCCTCGACCCGCGACCCTCGATCCTCCCTCCCTCCTCCCCCTTCTCCGGACCCTCAAGCCTCGATCTCCAGCCCCCCGACGTCGTGTTCTCTTCCCAGCGCGGGCCCTCGAGGTCTCGACCCCTAGTGTCCTGGCAGTTTTCGTTGTGATCCGACCACATCACACCATAGGATACATTAACCAAGCATGGCCGCGAGGATTGCTTTGGCAAAAAATAACTGGAGGTCTCGACCCCTTCCCCCAGGAACAAGTTTGGGCACCTCGAGTGCTCATCGACGGCCCCAGGGCCCGGCGAAGGCCCACCAGAGGCCGACAACGGAGAAACGTCCCGGACTCGATGCTGTCCTCCTCCTCCTCCTCCTGCTCCTCCTCCTCCTCCTCCTCCTCCTCCTCCTCCTCCTCCCTCCCTCCCTCGGTCTCGGTTCTGACGCCTCGGAGGCCGCCGGGCCGGGCGCCGCCGGGGCGGCAGCGGCCGCGACGGGGGCGCCGCAGCCACCGCCCGGGCCGGCGGCCGCGCGCGCCTGGCGCGGTGCGGAGGAGGTGCGCATCTCGCCCTCGGCAAGTGCGCACGAGATCGTGTTACATTTTTCGCCGCTGGCCAGGGTTATCCAGTGGGGGGCGGGGGGAGGTGCTGGCCGATAGCCTCACCTTTTCGCTCAGGGCAGCGCCACGTTTGCGCGCGCACAAGCACTGCGTGCCCCCTTCGGGCCTGCGCAACCGACAAGGTCAGGTTATCCCGGGGGAGGGGGGGGACAGGCGGACCCTATAGGAAGCAGCAACTTCTGGCCAAATGACAAAATTCGCATGGCGGCATACCTGACACGGAGTGTGTCCCGCAGATAACTGCACTTACGGCACCAGAGAGAAGCTTCGCATAACGTCGCCCCGCTCACATCGGCACACCTTTCACACAGATCGTGCCCTGCAAGGAGCGCCAACTACAGCTCCAGAGACACGACTCTCAACAGCTCTCACACGGATCGCGCCCCACAGGGAGCTCCACTTACGGACACAGAGACAAGGTTCGCATAGCGTCCCCTCCGCACATTCTTGCACATCCCTCAAGCGGATCGTACCCCACAGGGAGCACCACCCACAGCCCCAGAGAAAGTTTCGCACACCATCCCCCAGGTCACTTAGGCACGCACCACTCACGCGAATCGCGTCCAGGAAGGAGTTCCACTCATGGCACCAATCGATACTTTTGCATGGCGTCCCTCCGCCCAGTTCGGCACATGCCTCACGCGGGTCGTGGCCCACAAGGAACTCCACATGCGGCCTCAATGGGCGTGTTCGCGGGGGGGCACCTGGATTGTTCGGCACCTGTTCGCACGGATCGTGCCCTGCACTGTGCACGAGTGCTCCGCATCAACCCCTATCCGCACTGTTCCGCGGTGCGCAGCATATGAAGAGACGGCCGCGTCGTTCGCTACACGTGACTGCATAGGGTTGGGTCCTTCGCAGGGCTAATTCTTGCAAGTCGAAGACGCCTACGGCGAATCACTGCCGCCTCCTGCCTGTTTGGGAAGCGCCTCTGTGGCCGAACGTTTGGCGAGGGCTATATCCAACTATCGAACTATGGATCCCTCCAGCCGCTCGGGAAACTCTTCGGGTAACCCTTGGGAAAGCATGAGGGGGAGGATCAGGAGAGGAAAGAGGAGGATGAGAGGAGGAGGAGGAGGATGAGGAGGAGGAGGAGGAGGAGGGAAAGGAGGACGAGAAGGACGAGGAGGAGGCCTCTTGGGCGCCTCTTGGGGTACTCCTGGGGCCCCAGGGAGTTGTGGGCCCCCTTGGAAGCCTCTTGTGGTCTTCATTGGGCCTCTTAGGGGCGTGTTGAGACTCCTTCGGAGGCTCTTTGGCTGTCTAAAAGCGTTCCTGGCCCGTCTGAGGCCATCGAAAGCAGTCTTAGGGGGCCTCTCTAGGCCGACTTGGGGCGCTTCAGGGATCTCTTGGGAGCCTATTGGGGCGTCAAGGGGCCAGCTCGGAGGCCTCTTGGGCGCTCCTGGGGCCAACTTGGTGGCCCCGGGGGCCGTCTCGAGCCGTCGCAAAGCCAGCAATGAACGAACGCCAAGCTCCTTGCAGGTGTGATTGCCGCAGGGCAAGTGGGAATAAGGGGGGGCACCCTACGCAACCACGAAGCATGTGGGGGGTGACCGCAACGGGCGGGGCGCCGCCTGGCGGGCACAGGCATTTAGGCCTCCAGGTGGAGCTTCCCTAAAGGGGCCACGAAACGTGCAAGAGGTGTGCCAAAATGGGCTGCCTTCGGTGGAGCTCCCTAGAGGTCCACGAAACATGTGAGGGATGCACCAGAATGAGGCGGTGGGGCCATGCGGGTGTTGCCATTCGGACCCACGGTGGACCTCCCTGTGGGGCCACGAATCCTGTGAGGGGTGCGCCAGTGTGCGAAACCAGGGCGGTGGCGCCACGCGGGCGGCACCATTTGGGCCTTCGGTGGAGCTCCCTTCGGGGAAACGAAGCGCGCGAGGTGTGCCAAACTGGGGCGGTGCCGCCTTGCGGGCGCTGTCACGTGGGCGTCCGGGGTAGCTACCTGTGGCGCCACTAACAGTGTGAAGGGTCTGCCGAACTGCCTGGCATGCGCAGGGCCGAAGCAGGGATGGAAAGAGGGCGGAGGAGGAGGTGGGAAGTGCGGAACGCGGGGCGCTGTCTCCTCAAAACGAGGACTCAACACCAGAATATGGATGGTAATCCATGAGTTTGCCTCTTCGGGACTTCTTGGAGATCCTCATTGGGGGCCTCTTGGGCCGTCTTGGAAGCCTCTTGGGCCGTAGGCGATCTTGAAGCCATCTTGCGGGCAATTCGGCCCGTCCTGGAAACATGTTGGGACCATCGTACCCGTCTTGGAAACCATCTCGGCCGGCTTGAAAGCCATCTTGGGGCAGTCTGGAGCGGGAAGACCGGGGACCTGGGAAGTTTATTGGTCCTTACGGGGAGGCAAGCCGACGGGAGAGACTTTTATGCGCCCTGCTGGGTGGCCAGCGGTATCGGCCGAAGGCCCACTGGAACCCCTGTACGAATAAAAACTAGCGAAGGACCCAACCTTCTGCAATTGAAGATACCGCGTTGCGGGTACCCCCTTCGATGGAACTCCCCATGGGGCCACGACACGCGCGAGGGGTGTCCTGTACTGGCCGGGGGAGACGCATCCGGCCGCGGCCACTGTGGCCTTCGATGGACTTCCACGATGGGGCTACGAAACGCTGTGCCGGGTGGCGCGGACGCGTGATGCCGCGGCCACTGGGGCCTTCGGTGGAGCCCCCTATGGGACCACGAAGCGCTGTACTGGGTGGCGCGGACGCATACGGCCGCGGTCACTGGGCCTTCGGTGGAGCTCCCCATGAGACCACGAAGCGCTGTTCTGAGTGACGCGGGCGCGTGATGCCGCGGTCACTGGGGCCTTCGTTGGCACCCCCTATGGGACCACGGAGCGCTGTACTGGGTGGCGCGGACGCATGCGACCGCGGTCACTGGGGCCTTCGGTGGAGCTCCCCATGAGACCACGAAGCGCTGTACTGGGTGACGCAGACGCATGCGGCAGCGGCCAGTGGAGCTCCCTGTGGGTCCACGAAGCGAAATACTGGGTGGCGCGGACATATGCGGCCGCGGCCATTGGGGTCTTTGATGGGGCTACCTATGGGGCCACGAAACGGAGCACTGGGTGGCGAGGACGCATGGTGCCACGAAACTGGGTACTGTGTGAGGGAGACACGTGCGCCCGCGGCCACTGGGGCCTTCGGTGGAGCTCCAGTATGGGGCCACGAAGCGCTGTAATGGGTGACGCGGACGCATGCGGCCGCCGCCACTAGGGTCTTCGGTGGAGCTCCCTATGGGGCCACAGGGCGCTGCACTGGGTGGCGAGGACGCATGAGGCCGCGGCCACTGGGGTCTCTGGTGGGGCCCTATGGGTCCACGAAGCGCTGTACTGTTTGGCGAGGACGCATGCGACCGCGGCCACTGGAGCCGTCGGTAAAGCTTCCATGGGGCCACGAAGCGCTGTACTCGTGTATTGACGTGGTAGGCATGCGGAGGGCAGAGGCAGGGATGCGAGGAGGGAGGAGAGGGGGAAGACAAGCTAGGTGCGCTCGCGCCCTATCTGACGTCCTACCCCTCCCTCCCATCCCTTACCATGACGTAGGTCCCCTCTCTCTATTCGCACAATCGGATGTCGTAGCATGGCATAGCATTACATGGCATAACATGGTGTCGGAGATCAACGCGCAGCATGACATAGCATGGCGTGGCGAAGCCCCATGGTGGGCGAGGGCTTCTGCGGCCCATGCGGCCCAAAAAATCAACGAATCGGCACCGAATGTGTAATCACTTCCGATGGGTTCTTAGGCGGTCCATTTTTTGAAATTTGGGGCCTACTTGGAAGACCGAAAACCATGCCGGGGCATGGCACTCAAAATCATGACGCCAACGCTGCAGCGGAAACATGATTCGGAACGAGCGGAAGCGCGGAAATGAGGCCAGCGCTGCAGCGGGAGCACGACTCGGAACGAACGGTAGCCCGAAAATGAGGCCAGCGGTTCAGCGAGAGCAACATTTTGAAAAAAAACTCAAGCGAAAACCCAACTCCCGGGAATCCCGAACAAAAAGCCAGTGCGCGGAGGGGGGCCGGACATTCCCTGGACGCCACTCGGGGAGAAAGGAGAGTAGTATTCATAGTGTGCAATTGTGGAGGAGGAGGAGAAGACACGGGGCGCTCTCTCTCCAAAACAAAGACCCAACATCACACAATTGTCGGAAATTACCTGGAATCTGACACGCCGTGCACCCATGTGGCACGCCAACAAGGGGCGGCAGATCGAAGGCGCCTAAGGCGAATCACCGCCGCCCCTTGCCTTTCGAAAGAGCCTATGTGGCCGAACGTTGCGACCAGAGCTCGGCAAAGCTGTCGGACTGCGTGTTCCCCCAGCCGTTCTGGAAGCCCTTCGAAGAAAACCAAGTGGGAGAGAAAGAAGAAGACTATGAGAGGGAAGAACAAGAAGGATGAGGAGTCATGATGAGGATAATGCCGCTTGGGAGCCTCTTGGGGCACACTTATGACCCCCTGGGAGCTTCCTGGGCGGCCTCTTGGAAGCCTCTGGGGGGCTTCCTTGGGCCTCTTGTGGCAATGGGAGGACCGACGACGCGCGCGCGCTGCGGATGTCCTATGGAGGGGATGGGGGGAATGCGCAAGGCCGCCGTAGACGACGACGACGACGACGACGACGACGACGACGACGATAACGACAACGATGATGATGGACGACGACAACGACAACGACAACGACAACGACGACAACGACGACGCACTGCGGATTCCCCACGGGTTGGGGGGGCTGCGTAGGCCCGCTGTAGCCGACGACGACGACGCGCTGTGGATGCCTCATTGGGGGGAAGGGATTGTGCTGCGTAGGCCCTCTGTAATCGACGACGACGACGACGATGACGACCACGACCACGACCACGACGACGACGACGACGACGGCGGCGACAACGACGACGGCACGTCAGTGCCAAGCCTAAAAACGGGGGAAACTTCGCCGCGGATGTCTACAATCCCTATTCGAGCTTCTATGCGAAAAGCAATGTGTTTGATGCTGCCTTGCAAGGGGTACGCGATCCCCTCGGTGGCGTCCGCGACGACCAGCGGGCGCGAGACTTTACGATCCCACCAGCCATCTGGATGTGTGGTTTAACGAGTTTTGTCGTCTCTCCCCCTCCCTCACCTGCTCGGGGGAGGCGCTTACCCCTGCTCCTGCCCCCCTCCCTGGACCTGGGATGAAGGGGGGCGGCGAATTAGAGCCTCCAAAATGGCCCAAAATGGTGCCAAGAGGGCCCCCAGCAGCCCAGCACCCTAAATATTGCCGAAGATGGCTCAATATAGCCGCCGACATACCTCCAAAAGGCCCCGAGACAGCCTCAAGCGGTTCCAGGTGCCCGTCGGACTTCCTAGACATACTCCAGATTTCGTAATGAAAGGGAGGGGGTCACAACCCTCCCAGACCAGAAGTTTTAGACCCCCCCAGACCATCCATGAAAGGGCGGTACTTTGCCCAGACCCCCCCGAACCCTTCAAGACAGCTCAAATCAGACCACCCCGCCAAATGTGACCCCCCCTACTTTATTATGGGATCCGGGGTACACTTGCGGAGGTCCGCGCTTCTTGTTTTGACCAGCTTCGCGCGCCAGGGACGGGGCGTCCAGCGCCGATCCAAGAAATCCGCGCGGACCTCCGAAACGTTACGCTCATGCCACCGTTTCGTCTTCGATGCCTGCCACCCCCGAAGGGGAAGCGTAGGGGCATCTCCTTCCGTTCTTGCTTCTTCGCCTCCCTCCCCCGTTGGGCTGCGAGCTGCGCGGCTGTGGGCCGCTCGGCGACTGGGAACCCTCGCGCCCCTCCTTTCCTCTGCCTCCTCTCTTTTCTACCCGAGCCGCCCGGGCCCTGGCTCGCCTCCCGGGTCTCCGGCCTTCGCTGAGTGTTTGTGGGACTGGGGATTCCCATGCCGCTAGTGAACTGTGGCCGCGCTGCGAAAGCAATATCGCCTCTCTACAGAGGCGGCCAGGGGTCTCAGTTGGTTAGGCCCCGAGAAGATCGGTCAATAGGAATACAAACTTGAATGTGGGGAATGATAGCAAATACGCTCAAAATCGGTCCCTGGACCCCTTCTGGTGTCCATTTGGTATAGTTTTTCACCCCTGATCCGTTTTTGCTGGCACTGGGGCCCGAAAACGGCCACCCGAGACAGAACAAAAATAAAACACCTCCTCGAACCCAGCATCGCGGACCGCGACCCCCCTTCCTCTGCTGGCTGGAATCAATGCTGGGCCACCTCGGACCCTAAGAACTGAAGTTATGCAACATCGCGAACAATCACGACCGGAGTCCTAGACCCCATATTTCTGTGTAACTTCTCGAGCCAGATCGATCTGTGAAGGTCCCAGAGCCCGAAACTGGCCGAAAACGCCCGTTGCGAATTCAACGTTACAGCAAGATCTCAGAGGACCCCCAACTGGCTCCAATCCCTCCCCCCCTCTTCCTCCCGCCCGTGGGCTGCCCGGCCGACGGGGATGCCCCTGGACCGCGGGCCTGAGAGCTGGTCCCTGAGCGCTTGCCACCACGGCGCCGCGGCTGGCCGGGCACCGCGGCCGCGGCGGACTCCTCGAGGCGGGAGCCGGGCGAGGCGGGAAGGGCTCGAGGAGGAGAGGGGGGGGTCACTACAGAGCGCTTTTTATTATCAGGCTCGATAACGGGCGTCACTCGGGGGGGGAGGAGGGGCGCCGTCTGGGAATTGCAATCAACCCGTAGGAGCGTATCACGATTCGCGGTAAGGATGCAGAGGTCTTGGAAGGCCGTGTCGTCCCTTTGTGGGTGGGGCGCGGCCCGCGAAAGCGGCCAAGGATGGGCCGAAGGGGAAGGATGCAAAGGTAACCTTGGGAGGTCGCTCATCTTTCCTATGCGGGTTGACTGTACCTACTACCCCGAGCCATTCCCAAACGGCGTCGGCGCGAACCGCGACGTTACTGGAACAAATGGGGGGGAACGGGGGGAGCATGCCCGGTAACAGACATTACCGCGAATTGTGAAAAACCGGGTTTCGTGGAAGGGGTGGGCTAGAGTTGGTGGCGGCTGGGGCGTCTGAGCTCGCTGGGCCCCGCGAAGATCGGTCAAGAGAGGGGGGTGAAGGCAAATCCGCTCAAGATCGGTCCCCGGACTCCTCTCAAGATTCATCTGGTGCACTTTCCCATCCCGGATCTCGGATCCGTCTCTGACGGGCCCCCAGAAACCGAAACGGGGGGGAAAACAACAACACCTCATCGAACCCAGCGCCTCGAACATGCCCCCCCTCTCCTTTCCTGCTGGCCAGCATGTGCCAGGAGGAGGGAGGAGGAGGAGGAGGAGGAGGAGGAGGAGGAGGAGGAGGAGGAGGAGGAGGAGGAGGAGGAGGAGGAGGAGGAGGGAGGGACGTCCTGTAGGAGGATGGCGCTGGTCACGGTAATGCTGCATCGGCGAGCTCGCCGCGCCGCTGCGCGGATGGCCCCAGCTCGGCCCCGTTTTCGTCGGGGTATGGCCGAAGCTCAGATTCGTCGGCTTTGGCCAGCAGCGTCGCCCGCCTCGACTCCCTCGCCCATGCGGCCGCCGAATCGGGCGACTCGAGACCATGCAGGCGGGCGACCTTGAACAGGTCCAGCACAGGGACCTCCACCCCGTGCTGCCAGAAGGTGAGACGGGCCCCTCACGACTGCCGAGCCCAGACCCCACGGGCGACCCGCCGTGGGCCCCAACCCCAGCCCCCCACCCCGCCCCAACGGATCCACCAGGCAGAGGATGCGATGGAGGAAGTGTAGGCGTGGGGGACGGGGGGGAGAGACAGTTTCTCCCATGGGTAGGCAGTGTCCTGCATCAAATGGCCTGTGAGGGCTCATTCCTGGTGGCCGTTGGGTCCACGCCTGCCCGATTGGAGGCTCTCTGACAGAATCCCTGTCGGCCTCCGCGGAGTGGCTAGGCCAGGCGACGACGACGGCCAAAAACAGACAGCGACCGACGACGACGAACAAAGTGAGGGCGACCGACGTCGACGACGACGACGACGACAAGGAGGACACTCTCTGGCTTTCGAGCCAAAACTTGGGCCTCTGGCAACCGCTGGGGGCCATCCTGGCACCCCGGAAAACCGTCGACGAGGCGCATCTGATAGAAACCACCTAGGCCACGAGAACTTTCGAGACATCCCAAACAATGAAATCCGATGTCGGGATTATTTCAATACAGGAGGCCCGACCCTTCCCCCAAGGCTGGCTTTCAGAGACCTCCTAGATGGGGTCCGAGTAGATGGGGTCGGAGGCTCGCGCCGCATCGGCGATACATCGGCGCGGAGAAAATCGGGCTCCGCATCGCGCCGCATCGGCGATGCATCGGCGATGCATCAGCGATGCGGCGCGATCTTCCGACCCCATCAAATCGGACCCCATTTAGGAGGCCTAGAGTTCTTGCACCCTAAAATATTCTTATTCATTTTTAAACCCGGGGCACGGCGAGGACCCCCGAGAACAGAACGCTACGAAAAGTCCGCGTCGAAGTTTTCGATGCGTTCGAAGTATGGGAGAGCCTCCGAAAACTTCGGCGGAGAGCCCAGAAATTAACGCAAAGGCGGGGGGCCTTCTCAGAAGGCTCGGAAGGCCTCCGGCCTTCTGAGAAATTTTCTGAGCCTCATCCGAACTCAAGCCGGCTCCTCAGACGGCCGGAGAGCTTCTGAGAAGCCCCACAGCCTTCTGAGAAGGCCTGCCCCCTCCTTGATCCTCGTTGCTTCGGTTTCGGGCCACACCTCGAGTCTCCGGCGGCCGTTCGGCACGATCCAGGCACTCCCACAACGCTCTCGGCGAGGCGCGGCTGCTGGGACGCATCCCGAGGCTGGAAAACTGCCAAGAACCGATGAGCACGTCCGACGCCCCCCAGCCTGGAGGCCTCCTAGATGGGGTCCGAAAGGATGGGGTCGGAGGATCGCGCCGCATCGGCAATACATCACAGACGCATTGGCGATGCGCCGGCGACGTCGGCGATGCGTCGTCGCCGTCGCCGCAGAGAAAACCGGGCTCCACATCGAGCCACGCCGCCGATGCATCGGCATCGGCGATAGGGCGCGATCCTGCGACCTGATCTGCTCGGACCCATCGGGGAGGCCCCATCCCTGAAAATCCCACTCTGACTTCCCCCGCGAACGCGCCGCAGAAGATGCCCTCTCTCGGACGCCTGGGGGTTTGGGATAGCTTCACTCGGCCCTCCCGTGGCCGTTCTGGACGACCTGGGCACCCCAGCGCAGCTGCTGAAGGCACTCCGAGGCTGGAAAATCGCCGAGAACCAACGAACACCGCCGAAAAAACCTCGAGCCCCGAACCCGAATTAAGGAGGAACAAACGCCATACAAATGAACTTTTGGCGCTCCGCGCGGACTTCTTGGATCCGCGCTGGACACTCCTCCCTGGCGCGCCCTGGCGCGCGGCGCCGGAGGCGCCGCCCGGGGGAGGCCCAACGCGGATCCAAGAAATCCGAGCGGAGCGCCAAAGATTTATGTTTATGGCGTTCTTTCATCCTTCGAGAAATCCCCCTCTCGCTTCCCCCGCGGACGCGCCGCCGATCACGGTCGGGAGGAGGACGGCGGCGGCGGCGGCGGCGAGGCGGGCAGCGAGGCGGTTTGGTGGGCGGGAGGCGCACCGCGAGGGCCGCGGCCGCGGGCTCGGCGAGGGGAGCGCCTTGGGCCGCGCGGGTACTTGCCGGAGGCGGGAGGCGAAGGAGGGGCTGCAGAAGGAGCATGTGCTGATGATCGTTTTCTTATTCATTGCTTTGCCGATCGGCGCGGGCCCTCGCAGGCCCCCTCCCCCCCCACCGTGGAGTAGATCTTGGCTGTTTTTGGCGCCCGTTTCGAGCAGGTGGAGTCTCCCTCACAGGACGCACTGTTGCAAACAATCGCACTAAGCAGAGGTCCGGTGCCAGACCCACTCCCTCCCCCCCCCCTTACGCCCAATGTCGCAACGCCGGATAAGAAAACGTTCGCCTGTTCAAATTATTCGCGATGACGCCTGTGACCGGCCCCTCCCCCCACTGACCTACGTACCAGGCCACCCCAACCCAGCCCGAAGTCCCAAATGTCGGGTTGGAGGGCATACGGGATTCATCTGTGTTGTTTCAATGTTCGAGTAGACGGGGTTCGAGTCGATGGGGTCGGAGGATCGCCCCGCATCGGCGATGCATCGCCGACGCAATGGCGATGCGCCGGCGACGTCGGCGATGCATCGGCGCCGTCGCCGTGGAACAAACCGGGCTCCACATCGAGCCGCACCGCCGACGCATCGGCGATGAGGCGCTAGCCTCCGACCTCATCTGAGCGGACCCCATCGGGGAGGCCTGGACCCCCCCAATCCCTGGACTCCCGCTCTTCCCCCGCGAGCGCGGCGCCGAAAACATACTCTCTCGGACGCCCCCTCTCGAACGCGTGGTGGCGTTCGGATCATAACTCGGCTCTCCCGTGGCCGCTCGGGACGATCCGGACAGCCCATCGGCGACACTGACAGCGGGCCCTGCTCATGATGGGCATGAACTGCTGACGGTCTCCTTCCCCATGCTTTCTGTACCCCTTTCGTTCGTGCCGAACGGAACACGGCCCGCCGCGGGTCCGCGGGCCGACCGCAGATGTTTGCAGGACCAGGGGGATGCGATACTCGAAAGGAGGTGGGAGCACGCTTGCGCAAACACAAGTCGGCGGCGAGCCCGGGGTCAAAATGGGGAGGGGCGGACCTCCTGGGAAGGCTCGGAAGGCCTCCCGCCTTCTGAGACAGTTGTTCGAAGCCTCCCCCGAAGGCGCAGAAAACTTCCCAGAACACCGGAGGGCTCCTGAGAAGCCCCGCTGTCGCCCCACGGACGACAGCGTAGAAGATGAAGATGTCTAGATTCTGCGTCCCAACGCTCAACGCGCCACACAGTCCTGACAGTGCCGCTCTGAACAGAGCGGTCCCGATGATGATGATGATGATGATGATGATGATGATGATGATGATGATGATGATGATGATGATGATGCTGATGATGATGATGATGATGATGATGATGATGATGATGATGATGATGATGATGATGATGGTGTGGAGCCACTCCTGTTGCCTTCCGAGGCCTCCTGCTCCTGGGGCCTCTCGGGGCCTCCTGTTGCCTTCCGAAGTCTCCTGGCGCTTCCTGTGGCCTCCTGGGGCCTCCTGCGGCTTCCTGAGGCCTCCTGGAGCTTCCTGGGGCCTCCTGGAGCATCTTATGACATCTTGTGGCCTCTTGAGTCTTTCTGTGGCCTCCTGATGCCTCCTGGGACCTCATGTGGTCCCCAGTGGCATCCTGGAGCTTGTTGGAGCACCCTGTGGCACCCTGAGGAGAATCTGTGCCCACGAGTCTGGCCACCAAAACAAGCAAACCGAACGAGACATCCTCAAAATCTGGCCCATCTGGGGGGTGAAAATGAGCGCCTCGCTCGAGACATCCTCCAAATCTGCTCCGAACCCGAAAGATCAAGCAAACCGCTTGAAACATCCCCACAAAACGGCCGCGAACGGGACCGTGTCATACCCCTCGGCGGCTCCCCTTAGGGGCGTGAAAATGAGCGCCTCGCTCGAGACATCCTCCAAATCTGCTCCGAACGCGAAGGATGCTGGGCCAGACAACAAGCAAGCCGCTTGAGACTTCCCCACAAAACGGCCGCGAACGGGACCGTGTCATACCCCTCGGCGGCTCCCCTCAGGGGCGTGCGTGAAAATGAGCGCCTCGCTCGAGACATCCTCCAAATCTGCTCCGAACGTGGAAGATGTTGGGCCAGAAAGCAAACTGCTTGAGACATCCCCACAAAACGGCCGCGAACGGGACCGTGTCATACCCCCTGGCGGCTCCCCTTAGGGGCGTGACAATGAGCGCCTCGCTCGAGACATCCTCCAAATCTGCTCCGAAAGCGAAGGATGTTGGGCCGGAAACCAAGCAAACCGCTTGAGACATCCACACAAAACGGCCGCGAACGGGACCGTGCCATACCCCTCGGCGGCTCCCCTTAGGGGTGCTGAAACCAGCGCCCAGCCTGAGACATCCTCACAATCTGCTGTGTGTAGAGTAAGTCAGACAATGAGAAGGCCTGAGTATGAGGAAGTCTGGGTGTGCGTGAGTCTCAGCATGAGTAAGTCTGAGTAGGAGTAGGTCTGAGTATGAGTAATTTTGTGTATGAGTAAGTCTGGGTATGAGTAAGTCTGAGTGTGAGTCAGTCTGTGTATGAGTAAGCCTGGGTGTGAGGAGGAGAGGGGAGGAGAAGGAGAAAGAGAAGGAGGAGTAGGAGGCGTCAGAGTAAGAAGAAGAACCCCATCTTAGGATATGGGGAATGAATCGCGGCGGAGGGGGCGCGCCAGCTGGCGGATGCGGGGGCGCGGGGGGGGGGGAGCGCGCTGGCTGGTAGGTGCGATGGGGGCGCGCTGGCTGGTGGAATGGGTGGGTGATGGAGAGGGTGCCGTGCCGAAATAACGTGGTCGGAGCTCTAGACGCCCTGCGCAAGAGAATAAAGCGGTCGGAGCTCTGCATCCTAACTCCGCCCTGCCGCAGCACCAGACGTGCCGTCAGAGCGGGCCGGGCATCCTTTCGCTCGGGACTTCCTCGCCGTCTGCCGGAATGTAAGCTTGCAGCTTCCAGCGCTTGAGGGCGGGCCGTTTTCGGACTGGGGCTCTCGCGTCGGCGAAGCACAATTTCACCCGAAATACGTCCACCCGTTCCACGGGTGGAGGGCGCATCGATTTCAAAAAGGAGCCATCGACGCGGCGCCGAGCACACTCGTTTGAAAACGTCTAACAGTTATACGGATGGATGGCGAGACCATTTTCAAAGTGGGGCTCCCGCCTGGGACCTCAACACATTTTGCAGGACGTAAACATATGTGCACCAGTTACACGGATGGTGAGCGCTCCTTTACAACATGGGGCTCTCGTCTGAGGATTCGTTGTATTTGGTGGCCAGGAGTTTTCATGTGCGCAGCAGGTGCACGGATGAAGGGCGGCTCCTTGTCCAAAATGAGACTCTCTCGTGGACGAATCCGTTATGTGATACGACCAGGGTCTTGAAGCTGTGCAACCGCTGCAAAGCTGGAGGGCGGTTGGGCTCTTCCAAGCTTCCCTGGATAACTCCTTACAACTCGAAGGATGGAGGATGGTTTCTTTCGAAACGGAGCTTCTGCCTGAGTTGAGGGCCCACGGGGCGCTTGTCTTTGAAGGAGTACTTCTTGCATGGACTCATAAGGTGGGATCCTGTGGCGAGGAGGGTGCCGCAGCATCGTTGATACACTTGAGGCTGGCTCTGGTCCTCCTCTTCCCTGGTGGCATCTGCGTGCGGCAAATTCGTGTCGTGACGCCTCCAGCGTCGGTTTTTGACACCGCGTGGATCGTTCAACCCCGAACGATCGGCGGCCTTTCGATCGCCAAATCGTTCAGTATCGGCTGGTTCTGGCCCACTGGCGGAATTCAACCCTGAACGCTGGCGGAGGGGTCACAGACGCGCCGATACGACACGAACCTGCCGTAGACTGTCTCCTGGCATGGTGAGGACGGTACGGTGTCCAAACCGATCCTGCGCCTGCGGGTGAGAGGAGAACAATTGCATAAACAGAGTCTTTCGGAAATGATTTCTTGGAATTGCGCTGAACCCCCTCCGCGGTGTGCTCCGCGTGCCAGGGGCGGCGCTCCACCAGAGGCCTCCAGCGTAGATCCAAAAAGTCCGCGCAGAACTCTGCGATTTTATGCTAATCCCGCTGGTACTTTTTCGAAGGATGGGCCTGGTAAGGATCGGAACCGGTCCCCGATACCTGACGTGGTGATCTTTTCGTAACGTGGGGCCTTGGAGGTCTCGACCTCTCCCTAGGACCTGTTTTTCATCACGAGTAGTGTTTTGACGTTCCCTGGGGCCCAGTAAGGGTCTCCGAAGGCCGAGAATGGTCGAAAGCTGCTGATGGTGTGCTTTCTGTCGCGACTCGAGGGGGTCTGGGTTGGCATGGTCCGGCCCTTCCGTGCGATATCCGTGCCCGGCATTGGGGGCACGGATCGGCGGCGCCATCCCTGGCGTACCCGAGCGCCCCACCGCCACGAGCGCCAGTGCGGCCACCTACAGAGGAGCTCTCTCTCTCTCTCTCTCTTGTTTCCCTTTGTTTGTTTCTTTCTTTCTTTCTTTCTGTCTCTCTCTCTCTCGGTCTCTCTTTTTTGTCTTTCTCTCTCTCTCTCTCTCTCCCCCTCCCTTGGGCAACAACTCTTGGGAGGTCTTCGCAAAATGACTGAGCGCTGTCAAGCCCGAGGAGCGGGCCACTACGCCGAATTAGGCTGCATTCAGCCCCTGATTACACGAAATTCAAGGACAACTACACTGGAATAGACAGAATTTTGCCAGACTTGGACGGCATTCGATCATGGATATACCAATGCGGATGCTGAATTCAGCATCCAACGGGATGCATCTTAAACTCCCTTCCCTCTCTCTCTCTCGTTCCTGCTCCCGCTGCCTCTGCCTGCTCGATCCTTTCGGGCACTGGGAGGCACGCTGTCGCGACCCTCACGGGCGTTCCTGCGAGGCCGTCTGGCCGAACCCCCCCCTCCCCCCGAGACAACCCATGGCATCGACCATGTCTCGGGACGGGTACCGAATTCGATATCAGTGTCTGACGAACAGATTTTGGGCACCTAATAATTCGAAACCGCGCAACACACCACTCAAACCATAACATGTTCAAGACAACGCAACAATATTCGCACCGGCGCAACACTACTTAAGCCGCGTAAGCCCGCGGGAAGGGAAGGCGCGCACGTCATAGAGCAGTTGGGGGTCATGCCGTACAAAGCCCAGCCACCGTCTCGACCCGAATAGCGAAGCAACCCACCGACACAAACAAACACATTAAGCCTGCCATGAGATCGATCGGCGCGATGTGAGCTCTCTGTCGCGCTTGGGTTCTAGCACGCCAGTCCGCGACGAGGTAGTGGGAAACATGTTTTAAATTGTACATCCATGATATGAAGCCTTTTATTGCCGGATGGCTCTGGCACGGGAGAAACAAACGGTTATGAACATACCAACCGATCCGAATTACTAGCCGGCCGCTCTGCGGTTGATCGGGAGTTTCTGTATATAGAAGAAGGTGCGTGCGCTTGTTGGCGAGGGTGAGGATGAGGTTCCTCCTCCTCCTCCTCCTCCTCCTCCTCCTCCTCCATCCTTCTCTTGCCTCCGTCTGTCCTCCTCCACCCCGCAGCTCCATCATCTTCTCCTCCTCCTCCTCCTCCTCCTCCTCCTCCTCCTCCTCCTCCTCCTCATTCCTCCTCTGGGCACCTCCCCCGGGGCGCGGATCCACCGGATCTGTCCGGATCTGTCCGGAAACGGTGCCGGAGGCCGCTCTGGGCTCCTCTGGGCACCTCCCCCGGGGCCGGTTTTGTGAGGATGTCTCAAGCGAGGGCGCCGGTTTGGGATTCGTCCCGGATCCAGGGATCCAGCGGATCCGGATCCGTCCGGAAACGGTGCCGGAGGCCGCTCTGGGCTCCTGTGGGCACCTCCCCCGGGGCCGGTTTTGTGGGATGTCTCAGGCGAGGGCGCCGGTTTGGGATTCGCCCCGGATCCAGCGGATCCGGATCCCGGAAACGGTGCCGGATCCGGATGCGGATCCGTCCGGATCCGTCCGGAAACGGTGCCGGAGGCCGCTCTGGGCTCCTGTGGGCACCTCCCCCGGGGCCGGTTTTGCGGGGATGTCTCAGGCGAGGGCGCCGGTTTGGGATTCGTCCCCGGATCCAGCGGATCCGTCCGGATCCGTCCGGAAACGGTGCCGGAGGCCGCTCTGGGCTCCTCTGGGCACCTCCCCCGGGGCCGGTTTTGCGGGGATGTCTCAGGCGAGGGCGCCGGTTTGGGATTCGTCCCCGGATCCAGCGGATCCGTCCGGATCCGTCCGGAAACGGTGCCGGAGGCCGCTCTGGGCTCCTCTGGGCACCTCCCCCGGGGCCGGTTTTGCGGGGATGTCTCAGGCGAGGGCGCCGGTTTGGGATTCGTCCCCGGATCCAGCGGATCCGTCCGGATCCGTCCGGAAACGGTGCCAGAGGCCGCTCTGGGCTCCTCTGGGCACCTCCCCCGGGGCCGGTTTTGCGGGGATGTCTCAGGCGAGGGCGCCGGTTTGGGATTCGTCCCCGGATCCAGCGGATCCGTCCGGATCCGTCCGGAAACGGTGCCGGAGGCCGCTCTGGACTCGTGCTCTTCGCGCCGGGGGTGAGGATGACGTGAGTTCCACAGAAACTCCCTCAAACCAAAACTGACTCTACGAAGTGAGTTCCCGGCTACTCCACTGAGACGTATCACCAGCACCTACGCAGGCCGAGTATGTTCGTTGCCCTCCAGGATGTGATACATCTCGCTGGGGCGTGCAAGCTTTGGGTTGGCAGCAAGGTGTGGGTTACAACGCATCTCGTCCATGTGTACACGCTCCTCCCTGAGCTTGTTGGACGCACCAAACCGATTTCATGGACATCTTCACATTCATCGACGATCTGCTCGTGAAGTGCCACAGCCATTCGTGGGTGCCCGTCGCCCTCTGACACGCATTCACACGAACCTGGGCAACCAGATTTCTCCTGGCACAGTCAACCCGTACAATCAGGACGCCTGATGATGCAAGGGCCTTGAAGACATGTCGACACATTGCGAGCGGGGCGCGGCCAGAAGGCGACAGATGCAAGGGTAACCTTGTGAAGTCGCTCATCCTTACTATGCGGGCTGACTTTATGACACGGATGCCACCAACGCAAACCATGCGGGAAACGGGGAGCAGAAACGGGACGCGCACGCGCGCGCGCCGCGTCGGGAGACGGAACCCGGGGAACCCCTCTCTCCGCGCCGCCTGCTCCCGGGCGACGGGGCGCGCGGGCGCCCTCCCGGCCCCCCCCAGCCACGCGCGAGCTGGGCCCTCCTCTGCCCGAAGCCGGAGGCAAGCGAGAGCCTTGACGAGCGCAGCGGCACCCCCTCCCGACTGGGCGGCGGCGGCGGCTGTCGCCGAGCGCTGCCCGACGGTGGTCGATGCCTCCCGAATGGGGTTCGAGCAGATGGCGTCGGAGGATCGCGCCGCATCGCCGATGTATCGGCGACGTCGGCGATGCATCGGCGCCGCCGGCGTGGAGAAAATTGGGATCCACGTCGAGGCGCATCGGCGATGCGGCGTGATCCTCCGAACCCCATCTGCTCGGAACCCATCTGGAAAGCCTAGACCCTCCTATCCCTGGGACTCCCTCTTTCGCTTCCCGCGCGCCGCCGAAAACGCTCTCCCTCGGACGTCCCCTCTCGGACAACCGGTGGCTTTTTGCATCACAACTCGGCTCTCCCATGGCCGTCTGGGACGATCCTCCGACCCCCGTACCCCCATCTGGGAGGTCGAGAGAGGTGGGGCCCGCCTCCGCCGCCACCTGCGCCTCTGCCGCGGCTTCGGCCGGGCGGCTCCGCCGCGGTGTGCTGCGGCATGCTGGGCGCGAGGGGGGGGTGTCGGAGGGTGGGCGGCGGCATCCGAGCCTTACCCCCACCAACCATTGAATCGATGGGGGGCGGGGGTAAGGTTCGGATTTCCCCGCAGAGGAGGGGGAGGAAAAAAAAAGGACCCAGACTCCCTCGAGCCGTGACAAAAAAAACGACGGGAGGTTTTCCGGCAGCCCTTACCGGGCCCCGGGACGGCCAACAAAAATGACTCGGCATGCAGAAGTGGTCCCAGGGAGCGGTCGAGACCTCTGCGCGTCCATGCTGTGAAACAATCAAGATGTTGGGAGTCTGGAGAGGGAGGAGGGGGAAGACGGGACGAGGGGGAACGCTGAGGGGGAGGCCGGCTCCAGGAGGGGGAAGCATCGAGCTGGAACTGGCGATACATCGCCGATACATCGGCGATATGTCCACGACCGCGAATTAGCACGTTCCTGGGCGGGGTGGGCTCTCGATCTTTCTATCGGCGATGGATGGGCGATCATGGGCCGATTCAGCCCCTTCTGAGCCCATCCCTCCAAGCGTTACCCCTTAGGGGAGGAGGGGGAAGGGAAGAGAAGCAGGGGGGAGGGGGAAGGGGGGGCAGAGGGGCAGAGGCATGCGGATCCAAGAAGAGGCTCCGAGAGGCGAGGTAGAGACTACCTACCAAGACCACCCCAACCCAACCCGAAGACCCGAATTGCGGGTTGGGGGGGTAAGGGTTCCACATGTGTTTTTGTCGATGTTTCCCGACCCCCCCCCACTGGAGATCGAGGGTAAATCTGAGAGGTGAGGAGAGCCTCGGCGAAGTCTCTGGCGGTCATTGGTCTGACGGCTTACCGTCGGCGTCCACAGGGTCGATAGGTCCTAAGACCGAGCAGGAGGACGAGGATGAACACGAGGGGGAGGACGAGTGGGAAAAGGCGGTGGGGGGAGGACGAAAAGGACGAGATCGACCTCCTCCTGATCCTCCTCCTTCTCCTCCTCGGCTTTCCCTTTCTCGTCCTCCTCTGCGAATAGGCGATCGGCATCCTACCCTTGGAAGGGTGGCAAATGTAGAACATATGGCATCCGGAAACAACTTTTGTTCATGCCCGATCCTCCCCACGCGGCCTAATATGCGGCGTCAGAGTATCTCCTATGGCAGCAATCTATCCTAATATTGGCATTTTTCCTATGACTCCTGCCATAGGAATTTTTTCTGGCAGGAATATCCGCCGACCCGTTTCCATCGACCATCCTTTGCTTCGCCATCGTCCTGTGTCCTCTGGCCATATCTGTGTGCGCTTAGACATCGTGAGTGTGCCGTTCTCTCGTGCCTGGGAGCTGCTGTCCTGGTCTCCAGTGTCCGTCCTGTTGCTGCCGACTGTCTGTAGATTTGACAGCAGCAAAGGCACCGCGCACAATGGCGCCACAATCCTGGAATGCGATCGACCCGCGAACCTGGACCTGAATGTAAAAAATGCGAAGCGTGGCGACGTCTTCAGGACACTTGATTGGGCGACGGGCAATTGCAATGCTGAGTGTGTCGATCGCGATGTGTCGTGCCAGGGGCCGCACCGTGCTGTGCCGAGCTGAATGGACGTGCGTCGTGCCGAGATGTAAAGCGCGGTGCTCTGTGCCGCTGCGGATCAAGTCGTTCTTACCCTCCGAGCCCTGACCGGACTGACATCGATGCTGTGCTCGGGCTGACGCGGCGCGTAGCTCGCCCTGGGCCGGGCACAATCGAAGCGCGCGGGGCCCCCGACTGGCCCGAGCTTGACATCTTCTGCAACTCCGAACAAGGACGAATCAAGAGGGGCCGGATCCGGGCCGCGCGAGGCGCGCCGACTGCGGGCGGACCGCAGCGCGGCGCGCCGAGGCGCGAGAAACTGAAACTGGACAAGACGAAACAATGCGAACCAAGACGAAGGCTGAACCGATGAACCGGATCGAGGCCACGCGAACCAAGATCGGGGCGAGCCGAGGGGCCGAGCGCGTCTCGGCCCAGCCTCCGAGATGCGCGCGGCGCCTCCTGCCAGGGGGGCCGAACTCCTCGCGTTAAGAAGCCTTCGCGAATTGCAGGGGGCGCGCGCCCCAAAAAGATGCGCTCCCGGTGAGCGTCGAGAGAGAAAGATCATGAGAAAAGAGAGAGAATATTAAGAGAGAGAGGGAGAGAGAGAGAGAGAGAGAAGAGAGAGAGAGAGAGAACAAACACAGAGACGGCAACACAAACATAAAATAAGAACTGGCCCACTTGGAATTTGGGCAAGAAGCTACTTATCATCTCCTCCTTGCCAGTCGGGCAGGATTCACGTGCATATCGCTGGACCAAAATCAATTGGTCTATGACAGAATTCTGACAACGGAAACGCGCCGACACGCGTTGAGCGACGTGCGAATGCAACCCTGGCGCCGCCGTCTGGCCCGAATCATTGCTCTCGCGTTGACGTTGGCCTCGCGCCGCGTGCTGCGAGGACGGGCTTTGCGCTGTTCTTGGTGGGTCGCAAATTGTCGCGCGCGAGCGCGTCGCCCCCCTCCCGCGCGCGCGCTGGTGGCGCGCGCCAGACTCGTCTCGCGCCGCTGGCGCGGGCGCCAGGGAGGCTGGCGCGCGATGGCGTCGGCGCGCGCGCGCCCCGCGCGCACGCGGCGGCAAATCGCCTGGCCAAGCCGCGTGGCAAATTTGCAACGTGGTCAGCGCTCTCTATGAATTCACATTGCAAGCGGCGCCTCCGCATTTTGTCTTTCACGTCGCCCCAAAACATGCCGTCGCTTCGACCCCTAAAGAGACCGCGCGCAGACGCCCGGCGGAGCCGGGCTCTCGCACCGTCTAAAACGCGCGACGGAAGTCGCGGCTGCATTCGTAAAAAACAAGCGGACGTGATCCAAATGCGTTTGTCGCTCGTCGTTTTGTGCTCCAATGAATGGGGGTGGGGGGGTGGACTAACGCGACGCGGGCGTCTCCGCCTTCCCGACGATGCTCTTTGCCGGCAGGCGCAGACCCGCCGCTTTGCGCGGAGGCGCGTCGCCGCGCGGGCCCGCGGCCGCCGATCGGCTCATGTCGCGAAGGGGGCGATGCGATCGCAGAATATTCGAGGGCACGTCGCGTGGCGCCCGCGTGGCAAGCGCGAGAGCATGGATCAGGCGTGCACAGCTGCCCCCCCAAACGGATCAAGCACGAAACCTGCCGCCCCCCCGCCCCCGCGTTCGAGATCGACACCGCCGCCGGCAATGGTGGGCAAACCTCGAATTAGAACGTGCCCCCAACTGTCGGCAGCGCCCCGGGCCCATCTTGCCGGGCCCAGCGCAGGCGCGCCAATGCTCCGAGGAAATGTTGAATGCCGCGAAACTCCGCGCGCGACAAGGCGTGGGTGACCCGACTGTGCGGCGCGACGTCGCGCCTCGGCGAAGTCGCTGCGCCTCCAACGAGGATGCCCGCGCGAGCGATTATCGCGGGGCCCCGGCGACTCCTCTGGCCATTTTTCCGCGCAGCCTGGCGAGTGCCATAAACTTCGCCCTGGAACAGAAATCCTTCGTTGACCAGAGCAGCGCGCGGGAGCGGCCCCGCGACGCGGTCGAGCGCCCGTTTCCGGCCCGAGGCGCGACCGCGCAGACTTGGAAAGGGGGGCCGCCTGCAACGAGACGAAAGGGGGCTGGGGGGGGGGAGGGGGGGGGCGACTCGGAGCTGGGGAACCCAAGTTGGCCCCCGACGTTCTCCGCCATCCGCAGCGGCTGCGCGCTGCAGGTAGGCCCCCCACGTGCTCCACATCCTGCTTCTTACCCTTCTCACCGCAACGCTGTCGTACTTTGTTCGCAGCGGCGGCGCTCCCTCCTCTGTCGCTGGCTCCTGCTCCTGTGCTTTGGGCATATTCCACTTCGATTCCGCCCTGTGCCATTATTCGCGCAGCTCGCGCTGGCGCTCTGTCCGGCTGGTCTGATGCCTCTGGGCTGCCGCCTCCAATTGTAGCCTCGCGCGTTGCCGATGCTGCTGCCGTCGGTTCTGGCGACGTCTCGAACGCTTATCCTGGGTCGTACCGGGCTGCGCGACCTGCCTGCTACGTATTTCGCTGCGCCCTGTAGTGTCGTAGTTGAAATCTTGCATTTTAAAAGCGTGTTTTGTTAACATATTGTGCGCCTCGGGCAACCCCCGCCCTTGTTGGTTTTGGGTTTTACTATTTTCCGCGTGCCGATCGACTCTGTGTGATAGCCAATATGGTTCGCAAGCCTAAAATCTTACTGATGGCCACCAAGGAGCGTTGGGTGGGTGACCTGCCAGTGTCCCTTTCCTTGCGTACAACCTGCACAGCTGAATGGCGCTGGCTGCTTGGCTGTCTTCTCTTGGCTCTCCTTCGACCAGGAGATCATGCGCATTCTGGAATACTTGAATATGTTGCCCGACAGCGGCGGTCGGCGTTGGCTCACGAGACATGCATGCATCTGGTTCCCCGTGAGCACGAGAAGATTCATCACGCACTTTTGGTTTGGAGATACTAATGCCGCGGTCAAGAGACACACCGTGAAACTCACCACCACGACCGACGCTGCCCAACCCAAGATTCTTACCCCGACCTTTGTTTCGCCCGCCCATACTCCCATCACCATTACGATCGTCTTGGTCGGGCAAACTTCCATAGGGACTGCTGATGCCTTCGCTGTAGTCATATCATCCCGTAGCTGTCTTGGCCCAACGCGAGCCGCAACGCCAACGCCAATGAAGGTGCTTGCTGGTCGACGCCCTACACCCACTGCGTTTCACATCTCGCGGGGCACCTCTGCCTTGATGTGACCCTTGTTTTTACATGGCGGAAGAGTGCACAGGTGGGCATACGTAGAATGCGATTATGTGTGACGGTCCCTGAACCAACGTGAAAACCTGCCATCGCTCGGACGTCCATTTCCCGTGCATTTTTCGGTTTCGTGTGTTTTTTGTTCCTCGATGGTCCAAGATGGTCCTTGATGATTCTCGCAAAGAAAAAAAGTACACGTCCGAGCGATGCCAAGAAAACACACCGTGCAACAAAAACGCTGGGCCACCCCTGGATGGGCAGCAACCCGTGGGGCCCAGGAAGGGTCGGCCTCTGAAGCACCCCGGAAATGCAGTGTACTTGAACCAAGTGGCTTGGGCCAGACGTGCTACGGACCTGCTGCCGAGGAGCCTCGCAGGGACTTCCTCCTCCTCCTCCTCCTCCTGCTCGCTGCTCCTCGCCCCCTGCCTCTCCTCCCCCCCCCTCTCCCTCGGAGGAGGCCTCGCACGCCCCATCGCTCTCCCCCGACTTCGTCATCGTCCCCACCGCCCTCTTGGGCCTCTCCATCGGCATCGCCAGCTGAAGAGCAATTCGGGCGCTACCCCGCTCGTATTCAAGGAGGCGCCGGGCGGCCACCGAAAAGGGTGGCGTGGGCCCATCTGGACCCATCAGGGAACGACTCTTCGGATGCCACCCCTCGGGATCTGGCCCGCTCGCGGGCCTGGGAGCCGAGTGCACGAGCCTCGACGAGAGTAAAGCCAAAAGCGCGCACGACCCCGCGTCTGCCTGGTAAAACCGGGCTGTCGAATGATTCGAACGGCCCCCCGAATCCTCACTCCTTCCAGTATCCTCGGAAGCCTGGGAGAATGGAACCATGGGCACTCTAGCCGCCTATGCCGCAGACCGCAGACTTCGAACTCGGGAGGGGTAGATGCCCGTGGAGATTTTGCTGTGGTTCTTGGCCCCTGTGACGGCATTCGCCCTACAAGGCCCCAGCGGCTTGCACCGACTCTTGCGTGATTAATGCTTTCCTGAGACACATTGCTTCCGCAACTCGCACAGTGAATCATCTGCTCCTCGTCGTCGTCCTCCTCCTCTTCGGCCTCCTCCTCGTCCTTCTCCTCCTCCTCGGCCTCCTCCTCCTCCGCCTCCTCCTCCTCCTCTCCATCATCTGCCTCCAGTCCTTTTCCTTATACAAAACTCCTGCCTGTCGCATCCCGAGGAACTTCACGGATTGAGGGCGGTCGTTTTCAAAATGAAGCTCTGCCGGAACGCCTCGCACATTCGTTTCAACAAACTTACAATGTATTTCACGGGTTGAGGGCGGGTCGTTTTCAATCTGTGGTTCTCGCCTCTGCGCCGCGCACATTCGTTGTAAGACGTTGCCAGAGCTTCACGGATTGAGGGCGGGTCGTTTTCAGTGTGGCTCTCGCCCCAGCGCCGCGCACATTCGTTGCACACATCTGCAAGAGCTTCACGGACTGAGGGCGCTCCCTTTTGAAACTGTGGATTTCGCCTTAGCGCCGCACACATTCGGTTTCAACAGTTGCAGGACCGTCGCTGGCTCTCTGGGTTAGCGTACCAAATAAGGCGTTCTGGAACAATTCAGGATTGGCAGCGCGCAGCAGTTTCGTTGATTCGCGGGGTGAGGTCCCAAGAACGGCGCTCTGGAGCAATTCACGGCCGCCAGGACGCAACAGTCAGGTTAACTCGTGGATTGAAGTCCTGAGAATTATGTTTTGGCACGCTTCAGGATTTGACACGGTCTTCCCCCAACGGGGCAATGCCCCCAATGCAAGTGAACCCTTTCATGGGGCCAATGAAGAGGAAGCGTGGAGGGAGGGTGTGTTCCAACATCGCTGATGAGTCCTGTGGTTAGACTGATCCTCCTCCCCGTCCCCCTCCCCCTCCTCCTCCTCCTCCTCCTCCTCCTCCTCCTCCTCGTCCTCGTCCTCCGCCTCCTCCTCCTCCTCCGCCTCTCCCTCCTCCTCCTCCTCCTGCTCCTCCTCCTCCCTCTCCCTCCTCCCTCCTCCTCCTCCTCCCTCCTCCTCCTCCTCCTCTCCTCCTCTTCCTCCTCCTCGTCCTCCTTCTCTCCTCCCCCTCCTCCTCCTCCTCCTCCGCCTCCTCCTCCTCCTCCGCCTCTCCCTCCTCCTCCTCCTTCTCCTCCTCCTTCCCCTCCTCCTCATCCTCCTCCTCCTCCTCCTGCTCCTCCCCCTCCTTCTCCTCCTCCTCCTTCTCCCCTCCTCCTCCTCCTCCTCCTCCTCCTCCTCCTCCTCTCCCTCCTCCTCCTCCTCCTCCTCCTCCTCCTCCTCCTCCTCCCCTCCCCCTCCCCCTCCTCCTCCTCCTCCTCCTCCTCCTCCTCCTCCTCCTCCTCCTCCTCCTCCTCCTCCTCCTCCTCCTCCTCTCTCCTCCCCTTCCTCCTCCCCGCCCCTTCTCCTCCCCGCGCACCAGCGCGCCGCGCCTCGGGGAGGGCAAGTACCGCGGCTGGCCCGCGGGGGCGGCGCTGAAGGGGTACCTGCTGCCAACGCCACCCGCCGGCGCCGGACCGGAAGCAGGGGGGGGGACCGGGAGGGCCGGGCCGGACGTGAATCAGAAAGCGAAGAGCGGTAAAACATAAACTCTGCCTGCCATCAGGAGCGCCTGCCCCAGGGCGGCTGGAAGGCTTTTTCGCCCACCTGCCACCGCAAAGGGGTAACTTCTTAGACGCCCCTGGACAGGTGCCCCCGTTGGCGAGAAACATCCGTCGATCCAGAGTGTGAGTTTCAAGAAGCTGCAGCTTGAGCTTCAGCTCTGCTGGGGGGGGGCCCGGGGGGGGGGCTCTGCCAGGGGAAGGGGGTGTGGGGAGAGTGTCTACCATTTCCTGGGCCGCTCCCGCGTGGCAGGAGGAAGGGTGTGGTGGGGCGACTTGGCTGGGGAAGGCGGGTTGGGGGGGGAAGCGGCAACGCCGCCAAGGCCGCCAAGACGGCCCGAGAAAGCTCCTGCATGCCCAAGGTGGCCCCAAGACGGACTAAGTGGCCCCCCAAAGGCCCCAAGAACATTGATTTCCTTTATGTTTTTGTACGTGTTGGAGGTTCTCGCCTTTTCGAGCTTCCGACGTCCAAAACGGCGCAAGAGGCCTTCAAGAACGCCCCGAGACGACCCAAGAGGCCCCCAAGAAGGCTGCAAGACAGCCCAAGAGGGCACGGAGACGCCCCAATAGGCGCCCAAGACGGCCCATGAGGGTCCCAGGACGGCCCCAAGATGGGGAACACGAACCGACGATTCGAGCCTTCCGCCCCAAGAGTGCCCCAGGAAGCCCCAAGAGTCCCCAAGGAGCTCCCAAAGGGCCTCCAAGATGCCTCGAAAGGCTCCAGTGAGGCCCATAAAAGTCTCCCAAACGGCCCTACAAGCTTCACAATTGCCTCCAAGAGGCCTCCGAGAAGATTCCCAAGAGATCCCAACGAACCTCCAAAAAGCCTCGGACCGGTGGCGGGTTGGGCCGAAAGTCACCAGATCCGCCGTCCCCTTTTGGCTTGCCACAAGGGTGCCCGGCGTGCTAGATCCTATCGATTTTGGTTCTTTTAGAACAACTCTCTGGGGCTTCGGCCCGTCCCGCCGGCCACCCGAAAGACAGCATGAACCACCCCCACGTCCACAACCAATTCTCCAAGACGGCTTAGGTGGCCTCTAAGATGGTGACGTTGGCCCAAGAAGATGGCCTCCTAGATGGCCTCCAAGTCGCCCAAGATGGTCCAAGGTGGCTTCCAAGACGGCCCGATAGAGTCCAAGATGCCTTCAAGTTCGTCCAAGAAGCCTCCAAGACGGCCCAAGATGGCTCCAAGATCGCCGAAGACTGGCCAAGAGGCCCCCAAGAGGCCTCCAAGACGTCCTCCAGGAAGGCCCGAGAGGCAAACATCATTGATTTTCCCTGCCGCTGTGGAAGAATTTTGGCATTTTCTTATTTATTATCAGCGCTCCGACGGCCCACGACGACCTAAGAGGCCCCCAGCATCGTCCCAAGAGCGCCCAAGAGGCCTCCAAGATGGCTCCATGAGAGGCCAGGAGGCCCCCAAGAGGGTCCCAGTAAGAGCCCAAGACGGCCCACGATGGCCCCGAAGACGCCGAAGATGGCCTCCGAGACGGCCAAGATGGCCTCCAAAATGCCTTCAAGACGGCCAAGGAGGGCTCCAAGACAGCGAAGATGGCCCCAATATGCACCCAAGACGGCCCCAAATGTCCACAATATGCACCGAAGATGGCCCCAATATGCACCGAAGATGGCCACAATATGCACCCAATCTGCACCCAAGATGGCCTTAGACTGCCCAAAAGACCCGCAAGAGGCCTCAAAGACAGCTCAAGAGCCCTCCAAGACGTCCTCCAGGAAGGCCCGAAAGGGTCAAAATGGCCTCCAGACGGCCAAGATGACCTTCAAATGCCTCCAAGACGGCCAAGATTACCCAATTGAGCCTCAGAGTGCCTCAAGAGGCTCCCAAGAGGACTCTTCCTCCCTTCCCCTTTTTCCTCACTCTCCTCCTCTTCCCCAACCTCCTCCACGTGTTCCCCGAAAGCTTTCCAAACCGATTCGGGGAACACTCGTTCCGAAAGATTGGCAAGGATCTGACCCAACTTTCGGCCAGCAGGCCCCAAGACGCCTCCAAAAGCTCACAAGAGCCTCCAAGGGGCCCTGAGTACGCCCATTTGCCTCACGTTCCTCCTCTTCCCCGTCCTCCCCCACATGTTCCCCGAAGGCTTTCTAAACCGATTCGGTGAACACATGGTCCGATAGCTTGGCAGGGCTCTGGCCTCAACGTTCGGCCACATGAGCGCTTCCGAAAGGGCACGGGGCGGCGGTGACTCGCCGTAGGCGTCTTCGATCAAAAGACATGGAAATGACGGAAGGAACAATATACGATGAAGTACTCACGCTACGACCCGCCCAACCACTCACACACCGAGCCAACCCGGCCCCGTCCAGCAGCTGGCCCGCAAACAAGCTCTACAGACGAACACGAGATAAACAGTCCATTCAACACATACTGCATAAAGCGACTGCCAACACCCTCCTCCCACTCCTCCTGCTCCTCCTCATCCTCCTCCTTGTCCCCCTCCGCCTCCTCCTCCCTCATCATCCCTCCTGCCTCCTAGAATTGAAACTCGTGGATCGGCGGCACAGGTCTGAGGCCTCTACGTCCCAGAACGGAGCGTCCCAGAACGTCATGGATCGGCGGCGCAGGCCAGAGGCCTCTACAATATGTGACACAACTCTTCGCCCGCAAGGCAAGGGTGGGTACTGAAGGGGGTTAGCGAAACAGCGCACGTAACGGTGATTGAACCTTGGGCACCATACACCCCATGAACCTCTCCAAACCTCTTCCACAAACTCACATTGGGGACACGGACTCCTAAGCAAAAGCTGAAAGACAGATGCACATACACAACAACAACAACAACAACAACAACAGCAGCAGCAGCAGCAACAACAACAACAACCAACAACAACAACACCAACAACACCAACAACACCACCAACACCACCGCCACCACCACCACCAACAACACCAACACCAACACCAACACCAACACCAACACCAACACCACCAACACCACCACCACCAACAACAACAACAACGTGACGAAAACGGCAATGCAAACAACTGCGCTGAACAACGAATCATGTTTCCACTCGCTGTGGTTGGCGCTTTGGCAACACACCCTCCCTGAACCTCTCCGAACTTGTCCTGGCTCATGCGCGGACACAGAAAACCCAAACCGAAGCTGATTGATGTAACGCTTGGTTTGCAACTGCGATATACTGGAGGCTTGGCGCCCAGCCGTGTGCCGCAAGGCTACGATTTCATCGGCGTGCGTAGATGCGCTTGCTAGGCACGTGGGCCCCGCCACCATGAACCCTTGCCAGTCCCCACTCCTGACGACAAGAAACTCTATACCCGCTGTCATGTAGCGACGTCTGGTGGCGCCCTCGCAACGGAGCTGCTTTCAAACGATGTCGAAGCAACAACAAACGCCTCCTCTCTGATCCCTCTCTCCCGCTCGCTCTCTCTCTCTCTCGATGCCCCACCACGAACTTGTGCTTTCTCTCTGACCCCTATCCTCTCGACTCCACCTACTTCATCTACCCTCTACTTGATACGCACCCTGTACGCTGTCTAGAATATCTCTACTGCTTCTGCTATCTCTGACCTGTGATTGTACGATACCAACTATACGCTCTCTGCGCTGTCTGCGTCCAAACAACACCGCCACTAATTATCTTCTACTCTGTACGCCATTGGCACTCACTCTGGTCTTTGCGATTTCCACTCTGCACGCGGCTTACGTTCACTATGCTCTCTGAAGCATTTCCACCCTCTCGACGCTCTCTACACTTCCTGTATTCTACACCCCCCCAAGTCTACACGCCCTGCACACACTTCGCATCCTCAACACCCTCATTGTCTTCACTCTCCTCGCTGTCTATACGGATCGGGAACGAAGAACCCTGGAACCTTCCAAAACCAGTGCAAGGACCCGTCCTCCCCAGGTCCACCCCCGCCCGCTGACCGAGCCACGCCAAACCGTGGCGACGAGGGAGGCCCCCAAGGGCCAACACAAAGACGAAAACGAAAAGCTGTCCTTAGAAGGCGCGGCATGTACACACGATTGCGCCGATCCTGGACAGGCCCATCCTTAGCCTAAATTGAGTCAGGTGCATCCAGGCGCTCTGCAGCCCTGGCGGAAAATGCACACACGCAGTTTTTTTTTTGTTGTTTTGTTTTCTCTCTCTCTCTCTCTCTCTCTCTCTCTCTCCCCCTCAAAAGCACACAAGCGCACGCACACACACGTTGGGCGGTCGCGGCCTCGCGCGCGGCGACGAAACGAAGCAAATCAAGTAAGACGGCCGAAACCCAAACCGGAGCGAGCGCGGGCCGGCTCACACACACACGCGCACACACACACACACACACACACGCGCACAAACACAAACGCACACACATACACACGCACACACACAGACACACAGACACACACAGAGATTCACACACACACACACACACACACGCACGCACCCACGCACGCACGCACGCGCGCGCACGCACGCACGCATGCACGCACGCACAAACACGCACACACATACACGCACACACACACACACACACACACACACTTATTTTGGACTCGAGATCGGCCTGGCCCAGCTGTGACTGGTGCGGATAGTTGTATAATCGCAACAGGTCTTGAATACACCCCCTAATACTGGGCCAACAATGATCTTTCTGGGGGCGAATCGAGCGTTGACGACACCCAACAATAGTCGGCAAATGATGACTCCGCCGCCACCGCCGCCGCCGCCGCCGTCGTCGCCTACTACAACGACGACTGCTACTGGGACAGGTCAGACGAGTACTATTATTACGACCGACTGCGGCGACGACTACTGCCACTATGACGACGACGGCGACGACGAAAACGTCGACGGCAAAGGTACGGACTTGCACTACAGATCTTTTTGGTTTCCCCACCGCAACAGTTATCGTTTTTAAAAACTTATGCTTGAAAGGGTCCACATGTTGGCGGACTACCATGGGTGCGAAGATTGTGGCGCCAGCGGATACCTGCCGATCTCTGCTCTGCCTATTGAAAGTGGGTCTTCGGATTTCCTTCCGGCGCCATGCTGACTGCGGTGCTCGTGGCGCGCACCTTTTCAAACGTCCAGCACGGAGAAGCTAAATCGCACCCCTTTGGGTTCGAGAGGCGACAGACCGATACAGAAGCGGGGGCACGCAACGAGAATGTCACGAATTACGGCCCGCACAAGCGGAAGGAGGACGAAGAGAGGAGGAGGAAGAAACAGGAGGAAGGAGGAGAGGACGAGGGGAGGGAGGGACAACGTAACATGAAACTCGCGCGTGCGTAAGGCGACCTGTGTAGACGGCATCCGCACAGAAGCCCTCGCGAGTGCAAGCTAAGGAGAGAGGAGGAGGAAGGAGTGAACCCACACTGAGCGTCGTGAAATGCTACTGGCCTCGGCAGGTCAAGCACCGTGGGTGAACGCACTAGCGCTGAGCGAGCAGGCGAGGCAATCGGACTGGTACTGAAAACAAGCATGCAAAGGAGAGAGGGGGAGGGAGAAGCGAGACCAGACCAACGTACTGCCAGAAATAAAACAGCACAGACTGGCGAACTGAACTAGGCGTGCGCCGGGCGGTCACCAGCAGCGCCGGCTACGCGGATGCACTCCGCCAAGCCTGGGGTTGACGCGACATCCCCCCTTGTAGGCCTGCTCTCATGTCGGTCGCCTGCGCTTCCGGACTGTTCCGTGCCCTGTTGATAGTCATGTATGTTGCGTATACGTACAAGGCCCGACGTGTCAGCAGCGCCGCGTGGGAAGGGGCCCAAGGCGGATCCATCAGCAGGAACTGATCCAGCCCGTGTGCATGCGTGGGCCGAGGCAGTGCCAGGCGTCGACCACCCAGCGTAGCGACGACAAGACAGTACGCATAGTGATGGATGCTGTCCTGCCTGCCAGGGCATGCGAATGCGCATCGTCCCGTCTGACCCCGTCCGAAGAGAGCTCTGCGCGTAGACCAGCCGTCAAATAGAGCTCTGAATACCGCGGCCCATATTCGAGGTGATGTGGTGCGTTGGATGCCCTGCAGCACGGCCATTGCCCTACAAATCTTGTGCGAACAAGCGCGGGATTCTCTATCGTGCAGGGTCGCCAAGGGAGTGATATCGGACAGGAGAGATAACCACCAAACAAACACCAGCACGGCGAAACATTCTTGGCGAACGAAAAAACGACCGCCGACCCCCGTAACTAACTGCCAAGCCAGAGCTTTGGGCGGGGAGGGGGGCTGTAGCACTAAAGACCTCTCGCGGCTATCGGGGATCCCAAAACGGTGCGGTGACAGACCGTGCGGTGAACTCGAAATCCCGCAAGACCTCACCGCGCGGTCCGTCACCGCACGGTTTGGGACCTTGGAAGCTCCAATCGCCCGAGACAACCTCGGCCAACGGCCCCGGTCTCAAAACCGAGCTGGAATCCCGAATCCCCACTGACTCACCACACGGCGTGGTCACCGCACCGTTAGTACCTAGACACCCGACGTCGCGTTTCTTTCGCAACGCGGACCCCCAAAGGTTGGGACCCGTTCCTTGGGACCGGTTTCTCATCTCGAAGCGCTTTTTGGCCGTCCCAGGGCCCGGCGAGAGCCCCCGGAGGCCGAGCATGACGAGGACCCTCCGTCGTTTGCTTTCACGGCGTGATGGGATCTGGGCGTGGGGCCCCCGAGTGCCGTCCGCGCCTTCCGACTGCCCGCCTCTAAACGCAGCCGAGCCCTTCGCGCGGCAGGCCCCATCTAGATACCTCCTAGATGGGGTCGGAGGATGGCGCCGCATTGCCGATGCATCGGCGATGCATCGTCGATGCATCGCCGACGTCGCCGATGCGTCGTCGACCTCGGCGCGGAGAACAGCGGGCTCCGCATCGACGATGCATCGCCGATGCATCGGCGATGCGGCGCGATCCTCCGACCCCGTCCGCTCCGACCCCATCTGGGAGGCCTCGAGCTCTGACCAGAACTTCGAAAAGAATCCGGCCGTGGCGACGAGGGCTCTGCAGGACGAGCAGCGGCATCGGTACCTTCGCCTCCCCCCGGGGGCCCCCCCCTCCCCCCTCCCCCCCTCGGCCGGGGGAGGCCCGGACCAGCGCCTCCCCCCGCCGAGGGAGCCCGCCGCGGCCGAGGGCGGCACCCCGCGGGAGCCGTGCGGCCGTGGGGCTCGAAGCCGCCGCGCTGGTGCGCCTGGGGGCGGGGAGGAGGCCACGGGTGGCGACAACCGAAGCCCAGGGCCGAACCGAAACGGTGTGTTTCGCTCTCGTTGCCGTTGTCCCTTGTTTTTTTGTCGTCTTCGTTTTTTCGTTTTCGTTTTGTGTTCGTTCTCCCTCGTGTTGTCTTCAATCCACCTCTCAGGCAGAACGAAGTCGGAACGAAACCGGCCAACGGAATCACCAAAAACACCGTTTAGGTCCAGCCCTGCCGAACCCTGCCCGCACCAACGATCGACTATCCTGGACCGAGGGGAGGCCGGGGTCATCAGGGCTCGGACCTCGCCGCGTGCTCGACGAACCCATGGAGTTGCCTGACTCGTTGGTCGGCGAGGGTAGGCTTCGGATTTCGCCACCGAGGCAAGGCTGAGGCAGGCAAGCCTGCAAACTCGGATCGGATCGGAAGCGGATCGGATCGCCAACGAACCGCCCCAACTCGAACGGAAATCGCATCGCCGCGCCCGGCCCCGGCCGATGCTGGTGAGTGTGACCGTATCGAATGGGATCGGAACCAGCGCCGCTGGCTAGACTCTGAGCTCCTGGGGGGCACGTTGGTGCATGGGGAGCGGGCCGAGTCGCCTGTTGGGACCAGCAAGAGGATGGTCCGATTGTTTAGCCATCGGCAGACCTCGGACGCGAGCAACAACGCACGAGAAACCTCACACCCTTCGACCTCCCTGGGCCGTTTCCGTGCCTTGGGTTTGCCTGGTGTTCGCTTCCAGGGGACAATTCTAGAGGCCTCCCAGATGGGGTCGGACGAGATGGGGTCGGAGGATCGCGCCGCATCGCAGATACATCGGCGACGCCCGCGCGGAGAAACTCGGGCTCCGCATCGAACCGCATTGCCGATACATCGGCGATGCGGCGCGATCCTCCGACCCCATCTGCTCCGACCCCGTCTTGGAGGCCTAGAACTGACAGTGGGGTGAAGAAGCGTGCGCCTTTCGTGCACCCGTTGGGCCTGCTGCGGCAATTCGCGGGCCCTTTTGGGGGCACTTTTGTGCCATACGCAACACCCGCACCTCG